GCCTGCCATTTGCTCACTCTTGAACTCAGTACAGTTTGATTGCTACTGGAACCATGGTCTGAAACTGCTCTTTTCAGGACCATCACTGAACCATGATACACCAGATCCAACAGCCTTTTCAGTCCTCATCTCTCCTGCCATTGAAACACTTTGCTATGCCACATCTTATCATTACTGAAATTTCAGCTTTGGATCTTTCTCTTTTTTTTTTTAAATTTATTTATTTTTCCCCCAAAGCCCCAGTAGATAGTTGTATGTCATAGCTGCACATCCTTCTAGTTGCTGTATGTGGGACGTGGCCTCAGCATGGCCGGAGAAGTGGTGCGTCGGTGCGCCCCCGGATCCCAAACCGGGCCGCCATCAGTGGAGTGCGCGCACTTAACCGCTAAGCCACGGGGCCGGCCCTCAGCTTTGGATCTCTTGACGCTAGTCTTTCCTTGCTTTTTTATGCCTCTTAGTTCGGTTTCTTATTCTTTGCTAAGTTGTCCTCTAATGTCATTGGCTTCTTAAGTTTAGTGTTTCCCAGGATTCCATGCTCAGTCCTTTCCTCACTCTCTTAATGTACACACTCTTCTTAGGTGAGGGAGTCTATTCTCAGGGCTTCAGCTATTGCCTAAATCTCTAGCTGTACTCCACTCTTGTTTCCTGAGTTTTGACTTGACCTGTGTTTCCAAACACCTCTGGACCATAGCCGCCTAAAATGTTCTGAGATATATTAAGTAAAAATTCAACTAACTTTTTCCCTCACACCTTTTTGCTCTTTATGCTTTCCCTATCTCATTACCTGCCTAGTTACCCAAGTTTGGTGACTGTTAAATTAATCCCAACTTCCGTGTTTCTTAGGTTCTCTGTTACTCTCTTGTGTAACCAGCCAATATGCCTGCCCCACCCCCCACCTCCCTTTTTTAAAGTCCTTATTGCCTTATGCCTTGGTCTAGGCCTTGGATTCTTGTAGGTTTCCAGCTGCTCATACTGCCTTCATTTTCATCTTCTCAACTTCTCCTCTCTTCATACCCATTTTTCACAGTGCTGTTTGAGTTAAAATAGACCTGTCAGACTGTCATCCTAGTTTTTAAATAATAGCCATTGCCTCTGAGCTTAATTTATTCAGCATATATTTATCAAGTACCTACTCTGTGCTAGGCACTATTCCAGGTGGAGACAGAGCAGTGAACAAAACAGACAAAAATCCTTGCCCTCATGGAGCTTAGTCTAGTGGACGGAAGCAGACAATAAAAAGTAAACTATGTGGTTAGAAGGAGATAAGTATCAAGTAGAAAAATAAAGTGGGGAAGGCAGATGGGAGTTTGGGGTGGAGGAATGGGGTTGCAATTTTATTTTATTTTTTTGATTTTTTTTAAAGATTTTATTTATTTATTTTCCCCCCAAAGCCCCAGTGAATAGTTGTATGTCATAGCTGCACATCCTTCTAGTTGCTGTATGTGGGACACGGCCTTAGCATGGCTGGAGAAGCGGTGTGTTTGTGTGCGCCCAGGATCCGAACCCGGACCGCCAGCAGCAGAGCGCGAGCACTTAACCGCTAAGGCATGGGGCCAGCCCTGGGGTTGCAATTTTAAATGGGGTGATTACGGAAAGCCATACTAAACTGGTAACACTTGAGCAAAGCTTTGAAGGAGTTGAGGCAAGTGAGCTGTGTGTGTATCTGGGGGAAGAACATTCCAGACTAAAGGACTAATCAGTACAGAGGCCCTGAATGTGAAAGCCTGCCAAATGTGGTCAAGAAACAGCGGGAAGCTATTATGGATAGAGATGAGTGAGCAGTGGAGTAGAGGACAGGGAAATAAGGAAGTACGTGTGTAGGACCTTGTAGACCATTTATAAGAATAAATCTTAATGAAGTGGAGTGGAAGAGATACAATCTAAGTTATATTTTGTTGATATTACACTGTAAGGGTAAAGGTAGAAGCAGAGGGACCATTTAGGAGGATATTGCAGTGGTCCGGTTGAGAGGTGATAGTGGCTCAGACCAGGGTAGCAGTGAAGATGGTAAGTGGTTACATCCTGGATAAATTTTAAAGGTGGAACCATTGGTATATTTTTGATATATGGATATAGGGAATGTGTGTGTGTGTGAGAGAGGGGGAGGGGGGGTTAATGATGATTCTAAGGTTTTTAACCTCAGCAATGTTAAGTACACAATTGGATATACTAGTTTGGAGTTAAAAGCAGAGGTCTAGGATATATATGAATTTGAGAGTCATTAGTGTATAATAGTATTGAGCCATTAGACTGGATGAGATCATCAAGGGAGTGAGCTGACATAAAGAACAGAGATCTGGGGACTGAGCCCGGGGATCCTCCATTCCTTGAGAGATAAAGGAGAATACCAGAAACCAGAAGTGGAGAGCAAGAAGAGCTATCTTTATCTTTAGGATGAAAACCAGAAGAGTATAGTGTCCTCAAACCCAAGTAAGCAAGTGTTTCAGAGAAGGGGACATGATCAGCTATGTCAAGTGATAGTGCTAAGTCAAGTAGAAGGGAGGGTTAAGATGATGACTGAAAATATGGTATTGGGTTCAGCAACAAGGAGATTCTTGATTTTTTTTTTTTTTTGAGAAAGATTGGCCCTGCCCTAACATCTATTGCCAATCTTCCACTTTTTCTTTTTTCCTCCCCAAAGCCCTAGTACATAGTTGTGTATGATAGTTGTAGAGTTATAGCTCTTCTGTGTGGGATGCCGCCTCAGGATGGCTTGATGAGCGGTGAGTAGGTCTGGGCCTAGGATCCAAACTGGTGAACCCCGGGGCCGTGGAAGTAGAACACGAGAATTTAAGCCCTTTGCTGTGGGGCCGGCCCCTGGAGATTATTGACCTTGATAAACGATGCTGGTAGAGTGGTGGTGGTGGTGAAATTCTACTGGAGTAAGTTTTAGAGAGAATGAGAAGAGGTAGGTATTGGAGAAAGTCAGTTTAGACACACCTCTTTTGAGGAATTTTGCTGTATAAGGGGGCCAGAAAACATGGTGGTAATTAGTGCAATTAGAGTTTTTTTGACTATGGGAGTAATAACAGCAAGCTTGTGTGCTGATTGTAATTCTCCCACAGAAAGAGAATAATTGATGCAGAAAGACAGGAAAATCACTGAGGCAATGACTGTGAATAGGAAAAGCAGAAGCATATGTAGCAACGTTTGCCTTAGAAAGGAGCTTGGTCAGCTTATCTCCAGTTGGAGAAGTGAAGGAAGAGCATATGGGGATAGATGCTGGTAGGTGGGTACATATAGTGCTGCAGGCAAGGTCATCAGCTGAGGGTGAGGATGGGAGAAGAGGTATTGGAGGTTGAAGGGACGGAGAGAAGAAATCAAGTAATTTGGAAAAATGAATGGACTAGGCAAAGGTAGTATGATTGCTGAGCTGATTGAAATTCTTGTTGATGAATTTAATGTGAGACCAATCAGCACAATTTTAGCTTTCTTTGCGGCCCTGTTCAGCTCTTTGGGTATAGGCATGGAATGAGTAGAAAGCTGGATTTAACCAGAGTTGTCGTTTCATCAAACAAGTATGATATAAGAGAAAGGTATATGCTAGAGCGGACTTGGCAAATTTTTTCATGAAGGGCCAGATGTAAATATTTTTTATTTTGCAAGCTGTGTGGTTTTTGTCACAACTACTCAGCCCTGCCATTGTAGTCCCAAAGCAACCATAGACAATACCTAAGTGAATGCGCATTGCTGTGTTCCTATAAAACTTTATTTATAAAAATAGGCAGCAGGCCTTTGCTGTTGTTTCCTGACCCTCATGTTAGAGAGAGAGAGGATAATAATAGACCATGGAATTTAAGCTGGGTATGGAGGGAAGAGGGGAGAACATGAAAGAGTGAGGGATAGTGAAAAGGTAGTAGGGTCAATGGCATGCTATCTCACTCAACTGTTTCCTGAACTCTGCTGTACTCTTTGACTCCACATCTTGAATATAGTTTTCTCTCTGCCTGAAATGTTCCTTTCGTATTCAATTCAGATGTCGTCTCTTTTATACCTGCACCCTTACTTCCTCTGCAGTGGCTACTGACATATAGAAAATGCTCAGTAAATGTTGAAAATTGAAATTCTCCACTTCAGTTTGGTAGGTAAGATCACTTCAAATTGGGAAGATTGTGAAAGTTTGTTTACCTGCAGATTTTCCCACTCAGTAGCCAATTCTAGGCTTGAACACAGTGATTCTCAACTTTGTTTTCTGCTTCAGTTTACCTGTCTGATATTATTCACGTGAACAGAGTAAGAGTAGTGTTCTGTTCCTCTTTTCTAATTGGTACTTAGTTGGAATTCCCTTCTTGCTCTCCACTGATCTTGGATTGGTGTCTTTATGCTGCTGAGAATGGATGTTTAAACATATGACCTGCAGTAAACTTGTGAGTGTGGTAACTCGCTGCCTTATAAGTTATTCTTTTTCTTTCAGTTAACTGTAGAAGACAAGTGGTTGTTCTACTAATTATAGATTATCAGATAACCATAGAGTCTTTTTATAGAGGTTAGAGAAATTTTGAAGAATATTCCAACTTTCTGTATTATAGTTGAAGAAACTGAAGCCCAGAGAGATTAAGTGACTTCCATACATCAGCAGATGTTAGCAGCAGAGCTTAAGGCTAGAAATGCACATTTCTTAGTTCCCAATTCAGTACTCACTCTACTGTCATGACACCTTTCCTGATAGGATTATGAGAGCATTGATTTTCAAACTAGAAAACATGAAATTTTATGACAGGTGATACCCTCTAAAATCATATAACCAAAATAATAGTTTAAATATGGTTAGAAATCTTAACAGTATTGAAATGGCTATGTTTTTTCTATGAAGTTATTGGTAAAAAGGAATGGTAGACTTGTTTTTACTATTATGGTTATATTCTGAATTAATTTTGTATAACTAAAATTATAAATGCATAAATCTAAAAATCGGAATAAGTGATTATATAGAGAATTTAATTTGAATATTCAAAGAGTAGTTTTAATCTTGTTTTTTTGTTTTTAATAAACTCTTTCAGAAGGATGAGGTCTATCTTAATCTGGTGCTGGACTATGTTCCGGAAACAGTATACAGAGTTGCCAGACACTATAGTCGAGCCAAACAGACGCTCCCTGTGATCTATGTCAAGGTATGTAAAAATGGAACAATTTCCTACTTTAGAAAGTGCTTATTATGAGCCAGGGAGAGTGCTTTGTGTGTTTTAACTATATTTTTGCATCTAATACTGAGGGAAAAAAAACTACAAAGTAGATATTGTTAGAGCTTCGTTAAATTCTTGTACAGTTTTAAAGTGTGAAGGCTTCACCTTTTAAACTTTCATGACTGAGGTGTTAAAGATACTTGTCATCTTTCGGACAAGTGAATTTTTCACAGACAATTATGAATTTTAATTCTGCTAGCCCTAGCACCATTTTATTTAATTTGATACCCTTTTTGTGCCACATACTGAAATAGGAGCAAGGATATCATGTAAAATTATAAAATATAGTTATAGGTATGATCAAATTCAACGTTTTATTGCCATTTAGAGATATATTTATTGTGTTGTACCTGAGGTTTAAACTTCTGATAATTTTAAACATGCACAGACTATCAAGGTGCTATTTAATTTTTGGTACCTAATATCAATGTCATCTTGTACTCATAGCAAAGTGGCTTTATCCAGCATAATTCTCATTAAAGTTGTGGTAGTTGATTAGAAACCGATTATTATTTTATCAACTATGACATTGTGAAAATTAACTAGGAGTTAAATTTGAAAGTTCAGATATTTAAATATAATTTTTTGCACTTTATCGTTTATAGAAATGACTCTAGAAGATAAAATGACAATGACTCTAAATGTTTTAAGATCAGAGTATTGAAGTTTTACTTAGTAGTTAAATTTTAAACTCTATAATAATAAATTGGGTACCAAAGGAGGACTTTGGTAGCTAGATGATTTTGGCGAGGCATCCAGGATTCCTCTTGAATTCAGTGTTAGGAATTAAAAAATCTGATTCTGTCATAATTTTATTTGGGCTCATCAAAACTTGGTTGAGGTTATGGCTAAATTGATGATAGTAGGAACTAAAAGACAGTTTTTCTACTATAAATTTACTCTTGTGCTGTGTTATGGTTTTAGAATAACAGATCCTATTCAAGATAACCAGCACAATAGTATATATATCCTTTTGAATTCCCTAAATCTAGAATAATCTTTGAGCTTCTTAGTTTAGAATGGTGATGGTTTCATTCTACCTATCCTGTGGTTCTTATTCACTGGCACATTTATGAAGCAAAAGAAACCGTAGATTTAGTTCCTGAAGACCTAGTTCTGAGTCCCAACTTTGCTACTTAGTTAAGTGCTTTTGGGCAAGTTACTGATCCATTCGCTACTTAGCTTCCATGTTGGTAAAATTGTACTTATTTCTTTCTGGCTCACAGTATAGCCTTCCTGGTCTATAAGATGACCTTAACATATGAGAAAACATTTTTGGTGCTGTAAAGTACAAGTAATAGATCTCAACACTAGATCAAAAAGTAACATGTTATGGACATTCAGTAAGAGGTGCACAGTGGTTAGACCAGTTTTTGTTCCAATTCTGTAATTCAGCAAATAAATGCTAAATAATTGCAGAATAATGTGAAGCATAATAAAATATTTTATTCCTCTTCTAATAAGGAGAAAAAAACTACACAAATAACTATAAAACAAGAAAAAAATAGTGTTATGCAAGTGGGTGAGAGGCTGGAAATATCATATTCTTTTGAATTGGCAAAATTTCCTTGGAAAAGAGAGAGATGTAGTAATACCTCTGAATCTACCCTCCAAATTTAGTTAGTTATTAGCAGATCTTTATTGATCTTTAGCTAAGCAACACCTGTATTTCCACCACTTCTTAACATAAAATGTGCCAAATTATTTTCTTTTCCTATATCTGTCTGCAGAAATTTTGCTTATTTCAGGATCTTTTCTTTAGTCACCCTAAAAATTTGTGTTTATTATTGAAGATTTTAATAGAGAAAATAGAATAATGAACCCCCATGTACCCATCACACATCTTCAACAATTATCAATTCATGGTCACTCTTGTTTCGTTTATACCACCCTCTACTCCCCACTTCCTTTATTTTGAAGCAAATCACAGATATTATTATTTTCATCTGCAAGTATTTCAGTATATATGTGTAAAAGATAGGGACTTTCTTTTTAAAAATATAATTACAATACCATTGCTTTTTGTTGTTGTTAGTGCCATCCAGTTGATTCCAACCCCTGGTAACACTGTGTACAGTAGGTGGAACCCTGCCTGGTCTTTTTGTGCCATCCTTTCACTTTCCAGCACTACAACAGACAATGCTCTGCTGCTATTCACAGGGTTTTCATGGCCAATTTTTCGAAAGTGGGTAGCCAGGTCCTTCTTCCTAGTCTTTCTTAGTCTAGAGGCTCTGCTGAAACCTGTCCACCATGGGTGACCCTCCTGGCATTTGAAATATTGGTGGCATAGCTTTCAGCATCACAGCAACACACAGCTACTATAGTATGGCAACTCACAGACAGGTGGTGTGGTTCCCTGCCCGGGAAATGAACCCAGACCGTGGCAGTGAGAGTGCCACATCTTAACCACTAGACCACCAGGACTGGCTACCATTGTCTATGCCAATAAACAGTGTTTCCTTTGTATCATTAAATATCCAGTTACTGTTTAGATTCCCAATATGTCTTATACATATTTTTTTAAGTTTCTTTGTTCGCATTGGAATCCAAGTAAGGTCCGTAAATTATAATTGGCTGATGTGCATCTAATGTTTCTTTTAATCTATAGGTTTCTCTCTCTCTCTCGCTCTCTCTCTCTCTCTCTAACTTTGTTGTTAAAGAAACTAGATCATTTGACCTATAGATTTTTGGTCTGGATTTTGCTGATTGGATTACTGTAGTGTTATTAACGTGTTCCTCTGACCTCTGTATTTCCTGTAAAGTGGTGATTAGATATATTTTTGTAGGGATCAAGACTATTTCATATGTAGTGTTGAGTGCTTTCCTAAGGAAGAACATAGTCTTTCTTTTTGTGATGCTTGTAGCTGTTGATGATCATTGCCTAAATCCATTAATTCGTCAAGGGTCACAAAATGTCGATATTCTAATGTTGTTATTCCTTCTTAATTTGTAAGCTGGAATAGTTCCATAAATAGAAACTTTTCCATGTCAACTCTTTGGTTACCTTGAGGTACAGTTTGTATAAGAAAGACAGGATATATCTTTGATTATTTCCCTTTATTTACCAAAATTTTTAATAATTAGTTGGTTCCATAGCATCCTCCAAAGGTGACCAATGAGGTATTTTGTTGTTGTTTTGTGTGTTTGTTTGTTTTAAAGCTTCTTGCATGAATCTTAACAATCTTTGATAACTTCCTTGCTTTCTGGCATGACAGTGTTCTAGGTTTATCTTATACATTTCTTCCTCAGACTTGGAATCAGCCTTTTCTTCAAGGAGACCTTATTCTTTTAGTGGGAAATGGTGTTCAGAGACCAAAGTCAGGGTGCTAGGGGTGCTAATTGCCACAAGGTTGGTTATTGTTTCTGGGTCTTTTTAGTGGACAGAGCTAGGAAGTATGTGGGTAATTTTTTCAAAGATAAAGTGCATCTTTTTTTATCCCAAAGACAAATACACTATGAGTTCATATTGATATTTCTAATTAAAAATTGGAGGGCTTAACAATCTTATATCTGTCTTTCCTTTCTCTTACACTAAAAATTCCATTTTGCAATGCCAGTATAATTACTTACTGTTCTGTCCTACACTCTACATACAAAAGTCTTAAGATAACGATACCAACACTACCACTATCAGCTGAAAATAATTTCAAATCTTTTTGCAGCTCTTTTTAGTCCCGTGGTATATCCCATGAGGGATGAACAGTCGAATTTCCTTGTTTTAAAGAAACATTGAATAATTCCTCTTTGTGTGATTGTGCCTCACTAAGCTTTATTTCATTTTACTTTTATTATAGATTGTGTTTTAAATTTAAATTTTACATCAAAATTAATATAAAATATTTATGTGGTTCCAAAGTAAAGTCTACAAAGCAAGGTATATACAGTCAAATAAGTTTACCTTTTATTTGTTGTCTTACCCCATTGCTTCCCTCCCACAGAGTTAAATGTTTAAAATTTTTTGTAATTTATTCTACCATTTTTTGAATAAGCAAATGTGGATAGTTATTTTTTCCTCCCTATGTTCTTTTTATGTAAATGGGTACATTTTCTTGTTACATAATGTATACATTTTTCCTCTACCTTGCTTTTTTAATTAAAAATATATCCTGGAGATCACTCTGTATTGAGATAGATAGATAGATAGAGATATTTTGCTTCCTTTTTTACAGCTGCATGTTAATCTATTGTATGGCTGTATCCTAATTTGTTCAGCCAGTTACCTATTAATGGATGTATTATTTTTCCCTTCCGTTTTGTTTGTTTGTTTGTTTTTGGCTATTACAAATAATGTTGTAGTGAAGAGGCTCGTGCACGTCTCTTTCTGTCTTTTTGATAGCATATATTTGGACAAGATCTCTGGCACCCTATATTTTAAAAAAGAAAATAAGATTATTATGCATGTTGAAGTTGGCATACAAAGAAAGATCTCACACTCCTTTTTCGCCCTTGTGGAAAAAAGAATGGTTCTCCTATATAACCACAGCCCTTCCAGAGTCAGAGCTATTGGCCCTGGACATTATTCTTTGAGGACACAAATCTATTCTTAGGTTTAAGGGTCTGAAAAGATAAAAACATTGTCTGGAATTGATAAGTTGATCTCATTCATGTATTCATTCTACATAGTTTTATGAAAACTATTTTTTTTGTGAAAAATCTTGGATTGGGAGATGGAAATCTCTTGCTTTCATGGACCTCGTCATCTAATAAGCACTTGTGTGGCATCCATGTTACCAAAATGGCAGCTGCAGTTCTTTGTGATTGTTGACTTTCGCTTTTTCTGAGGGAGTTGAATATGTTCTGTGACCTTACTGCTTCATACCTCTTTCTTCACCCCTTTTATAGTACTGATCATTTTATAATTAATGATGGTTAATGTACAAGTTAAAAAGTTTTTGAGCACCTTTGCTTTTCTAATGAACGCCTTTTATATAACTAAGTGGATTTTAAAATACAACTCTAAAACAGTTGCCTGGCAAATCATTATTGTGAACTTGAATTTTTTTTTAATTGAAAGGAAGGACGTATTTAAGGAGAGGGTCTGAGTACACAGGAGAGCTGGATGCACTTTTGTGAATCAACAAAATTGTTATTCTATTATTTGTTTTAAACAGGTTTAGTAGCACAAAGGAAGGGATGTTGGACTTGAGTTAGATTTGATCATTTTAAAACTGTGTTCAAATTATATTCACACTGTTCATTGGGCCTCAATTACCTCTCCTGTAAAATGAGGATAAATATATATCTCACAGAGTGATTGAAAGAATTAAGTCAACAAATGGGTAAAACACACTAGTGCATGTTAAATAAATGTCAAATTTCAAAATGTGCTAAATATCTCTGAGTTTCTAAGAGTTTATCATTCTAGTCTTTTACTTAGTGATCAAACTATTTAATAATTACATTTTTGCATTTTAATTTAATAGAATAAATATGTCAAAATAAAGAATTTGTCATTAAGAAAGGTATACTTACCCAAGCCACTAGAGAATATTAATTATGTGGTATTGGAAAAATTGCGTAACCTCTGCCTCAGTAGTTTCATATGTAAAATAGAAAATAGTAGTAGTACGTACTACATATACATGCAAATAATTACATAATACACGCAAAGCACTTAGAATAGTGCCTGGCACATGATAAGTTGTTTTTCTTATTATTGTTATTGCTATCTTTCTACTGTAGAAAGCCTTTCAGTTTTCCTGTAAGTATACTTTTACAGAGTCAAACAACAAAAAAAGATTGCATATTTCATTCTTGACTTTTCAAAAGATAAACTGAAGAGAATGGGGATAGAGTAAATCTTCCAGACGAACAAATACAGTAAAAAGACACCTTAACCTCATTTAAACTCTTAAGCATTTTTGACAGAGACAACATTTTTTTCCCACTGATTTTTGCTGGCCCTGACACAGAGTTAGTAAAATGTGTCTTTTAGAAAATTAATGCCTGTGAACTCAATTTCTTATGTGGGCTCATTTTTCTTAGGGGTAGTGAATTAAACTCTTAGAAATCTGAGAGTGAGCTTTAGGACTTGGAGATTGATTCTGTGAATAATGATACAGTAATAGAATTATGAAGCTTTTAAAAAGTTGCATGGATTCCTTAATTCTTTAATTCTAACTTTGGTGGCAAAATGCTGACCTTATTGAAGATCTTATCTATACATTTTATATCATGCTTCATTTTAAAGAAGGCTTAAGCTTTTCCAGCTTTAGTTCAATATAACATTAAGGATGTACCAGAATTCAGCTGTCTGCAGTTTTCCTCATGCCTGTTTGAAGGAGAGTAAGTGGAGAGTAAGTCTCATGTTAACTTTAATTAAGTCTTAACAGTAACTTCTAAAGATGGTGCCTTATGTCAATGTTTTATCTGACCTTTAACTGTCTTTTTTGTTGTTTTTTACCGAGACACTGGTATCTTTGGTTTGAATCATTTCACAAATTCTTTCCATGGTATATAACTTTGGGGTAGAGGTCAGAAGGTGAGTAGTCAGAAAAGTTTAAAAGTGAACTGGAACACTGATTTTGGGATAAACAGAAGGTTTAAGATACACTCACTTTCTTCATAAAGTCCCTCTCTTCCCCAGTCAAGAATCTGATTCTTTCTTCCATGCAGATCCAGTTTCTCACTGTATCTTTTTTTATAATAAAATCGAAATATTCTTTTAATTGGTGTCAGTAGTCAGCTAGGATCTATTTCTTTTCTTTTTTTTTTTTTTGTGAGGAGGACTAGCCCTGAGCTAACATCCGATGCCAATCTTCCCCCTTCTCCTTGAGGAAGACTGGCCCCCTAGGCTAACATCTGTGCCCATCCTCCTCTACTTTATATGGGACGCCGCCACAGCATGTCTTAGCAAGCGGTGGCTCGGTGCGCACCTGGGATCCGAACCTGCAAACCCCGGGTCGCCACAGCAGAGCGCGCGCACTTAACTGCTGCGCCACCGGGCTGGCCCCTAGGATCTATTTTTAAACGGCATTTTAAAGTCTACTTGTCTCTGAAGAATATTAACGGGAAGAGTGGTGATGCTATTAACAAGGTTACTGATGTCTTGATAGGTCGTCGATTATAGATTTTCTCAGTCCACATGTGAGTTTTCCCAGGCCTCTGTATCGGTAATATCTGGGGCTGACATCTCAGAATAATATTATTCTAAAGGTGAAACTGCAAATACTTTTAAAGAATGATGAATTTACAAAAACGGCGACTTGGCTTCTGGTGTAAACATTGTTACTTATTAGTCACATGATTTAGAATACCTCTCTGAGCTTTTTATCTGTGTTAAAAAAAATGCTCATCTTTGCAGGCTTGTAGTGAGATGTTATTAGTAAAATAAAAAATTATACAGCTCATTATAAAATTTCCTTTTTTAAGTTATTAAAGGATGGTACAAATATAACATGTGGTTAATGAAGCTTTAGTTAGCTAATTAAGGTAGAAATGACATGAAACTTGTTAAAGATTGAGTGCTAACAATCCTCAGCATTTCACTTGTTCTGTTCCTGAAATACTTTATTTACTGCTTAAGGATTCTGATTTGTTTGGAATAGAAAGCATTCAATTAATTTTTACTATTTATTCCAGTTGTATATGTATCAGCTGTTCCGAAGCTTAGCCTATATCCATTCCTTTGGAATCTGCCATCGGGATATTAAACCACAGAACCTCTTGTTGGATCCTGATACAGCTGTCTTAAAACTCTGTGACTTCGGAAGGTAAGCTAGCTCTCTTTTCTTCTCCCTTCCTTCTGTCCTCTCCTACCCCACCCTCTCCCACATGTGCTCTTTTAAAATATATTCTTTTTACAATGTCAGTCTAAAAATACTGTTTTCCCTATTCAAGGAGTATAAACTATCGCAGTTTCTTGTGAGGGTAGTTTTGGTAGAGTCTGTCAGAATTATAAATGTGTACAGTCTTTCATCCAGCAGTTTAATTCCTAGGAATTGGTCCCTTAGAAATACTCACACATTTACAAAATAGCACATATACAGGTATTTTTGTCATAGTATTGTTTATAAATGTCCGTCAGGAAAATGACCAGATAAGTTATGGTACATACATATATATTGTAGTACATGCAGCCTTGAAAAAGACTGCAGTAGCTCTCTATGAATTGAAAAGGAATGACCTCTAAGAATATTAAATTAAAAAGCAAGGTCAAGACTTGGTATATAGTATGTTATCTTTTGTGTTTTAAAAACACAGAGTATAGCCATATGTATACAGATATATGCATGGCTTATTTCTGGAATGATATATAATAAACCCATAACGTTGATTGCCCCTAGGAAAGGAAACTGGGAGTATGTATAGTGTAGTTGGAAAACTTACTTTTTTATTGATAATACTTTGGTATTGTTTTAATTTTTATAATGTGTATATATTCCTTTTTCAATAAGAACTAATTATTTTAAAATATTGAGTATTATATACTACTATGTATCTTTTT